TTCCCATTGCGGAAAAAAGCTTGGTTATCTGGCTGGCTGGCAAATGTGTCCTTATGGTCCCAGTACATGTACTCGGGGTTGTGTGTATGCGTATGAAAATTCAATCAAAATGGCGTTTCCTGTAATATATGCACTGTTGGGAATCTATAAGGACTTGAAATTATATTTATCTCTGATTTGTATTAATAATATTTTAAAGAAGCATTTAACAGTGCCTTCAATTTGTATTAGCAAAAATATTTTAATACCAAATAGTCATATTTTTTAGGGATCACATATATGACTTTATAATATAAAAGTTTGCTAAACAGTTTGAAAATGTTAAAATAATTTATTAGGTTTTTAAATCACATGAAAATGTATCTTTTTACTAAATTTTATTGAGATAAAGAAATATATGGGATTTATGTATTTAAAGTAAACCAACGATTTTGATTCTCTTCCAGATGGTATTATAATTAAACAAAAAAATGGTGACTTCTCTAATTTTCGACTTTTAAAAAAAGTTTTTGGATATAGAAATGGTTTAATAATTCAGAATTACGCTTATCTTACAGCAGGCATAGGAACGATTAATTTTTGCAATAGCTGCAAGGTTATATAATTTTTTGTTTTTATTATTTTCAAGATATTCTTCCTTGCTGCCCTTACCGAATCCCGCAGAGTCTTCTACCCTGAGCTCGTCGCTTAAGCTCAGCTGTTGTCTCCTCCTAATGACCTCCAGTCCCTTCCCTGCGGAACCACTTCACCCAGTCTCAAGACCCCGAACTCCTCCTCCTCTCCCTTCAGCAACTTTGCCAGCCATCTTGTTCAACTAAGTAGCTCATGTCTGACAGCTGAGCAACGTTTGTCATAATCAAATGTGAATGGACTGACACTGACACTGAGGGCTCTGAGGACGGAGGACTGAAAACTGGTAGCTGCCAAAAAGCAGAGAGTGGAAATTAATTTAAATTGGCCTTTAATGTAAATGCATCTCTCAATGCATCGCCAACTGCAGTTGGTTCTGTCGGAGCTTGCTCTGCTCCAGATATCGCTTATATCCCGACTAACACCGACTTGTGTTTGCCTCTAAATGGAGGATATTTATCAACTACTCGTAGACATCCTCCAACCTTTTCGAAAACCCCCATTTCCATTACGGATGCGTGAAGAACTCAAATGGCAAGGTATTAACGAATTGTCGTGAGTTTGGTCATGGGAGGGGTGTCCATTTTTCTTAGATCGTTTAATTGGAAACTGTTGCAGTTGTAGTTCCGTTGATGCACAGAGACAAAATCATAGCGATAGTTTATCGTGTCATCTTGATATTTTTCAGTTCTGTAGCAACTTAATTTTGTGCTTACAACAATCTTTAATGTTAACGCCTTGGAATTTTAATAAAAAAAAGATATTAAACATTTACTTTGTAAATAAAACAAGTTTTAAATTTCATAAGACACAATGTTGTGATAATTTTCCAATATAAGTTATCAACTTTAACATTTTAAATAGCAACTTTAACATATTTACTCCGTTTTATAAAACAAAATATTGAGCAGTCTTTTTTTTGGCCGTGTTTTCTGTTCTATGCCCACATGTAATTTGAAAATTCCTATTTCGCGTTAAACGCTGTTTCTTAAACTAAAAACAAACTACAAACACGGCTGATTGTTTCATATTATAAATTGAGCGAGTGTGTGTGAGGGGCAATAGCTACAACGTCGAAGGAACAACATGCAAGCGATGATGAAAAATCGACTGCAACATGTTGGATGCTGCTGAGGGGACCCTCCATGGATCTGAAATGGAATGGGATCGGGAGGATGGCGTGGTACACTATGGATTGGGATACGAGAGTCTGGCTCTGACTGCCCGCTGGCATCGCCAACATCAACTCCAATTACAGAAGTACACGCAGGCGTCTCTCTTATGATTTCTTTTTTTAGTTTTTCATTTATTTTCCATCTCTTCTTTTTTAATATTTTTATTTGCTTTGTGAATGACATGCGGGCTCTACAGAGAGAGCAGTAAGTGCTACATGTGTGTTTGGTAAGAACATAGAAAAACATTTGGAAAAATTACACGAGTCTTGAGTATTAGAAAACCATCGATTGTTTAAAAAGAGTTTATTAATATGGATTAATTATTTTAGGTCTGCAAGAGCTCTCAAACAAATTATCTGGAAGTTACTTTCTGGAAACATTTTTTTAAATTTAATGGCTTACTTTCTTAAACCAAGTTAATTCAACATAAACATTATCTTAACTTAAGTCAAATACAAAAGTAGTAAAAATTGAAATTGATTTTGATATTGTTTCCCAGCAAATAAAATATTTTACTATATTTGTATAATACTCCTGATCTGCAAAAAAACATAAAAATCGACTAATGCCATTCCAAGCAAATGTTTAAAAAGTTATTATTAGCAACCAAATTAACAAACAAAGGGGGCTAATTTAAAAACTTTTGATTTATTATGTGTTTCCCAAACCTACTTACATTTTAAGAATAAAAACCAAAACAATCATCTCATTGGGTGTGTCTTCATCAGCAACTCAGTGTTGTGATAAAAAAAAAGCTAATCAACCTTTAAAAAACAGAAACAAACCATTCAATCGAATTTAAATTCAAATTCAAATGCCGCCGAAATCAAACAACATTTGTTCAGCTCTGAATGTGAATCTGGAATGTTGGTAGCAAATATGAAATCGACTTTTAATTAAGGCATTTAGCCAAACAAATCAAAATCGTTAAGCCCCGAAACCGAATGAATCATGAGAACTTGAACTTGGCTGGAGTCCAAATGAACCCGAGAGCCCCGAAAACAGACCCATAAATTTAAATTCAGAGACAACTGCCAACGAGCTCGTTTTAAAGGAGGGATAACTTTAGCAGGAGACTTTGCATTTTCGAATACGGCCAATAAAAATGGAAATGAACGCGGAGCAGAGCGGAACGTTTATAAAATAATAATGCGAAATAATAATGTGACGGTGATTTAGCGGAACAGCGCCACGATTGAATACAAATAAAGTGGGGACGTGCGGGCCGAGACGCCTAATCTAGGATGATTTCGGCCTAATCTGGAGCGTGAACCGGGGGCAGATGCGTCCTGGAGTGGCTGCCAACTACCTGTTTTTTCTCGCCTCTCCTGCGGCAGCCCCCCATTTTTCCCATTTTCCTCATTTCCCAATTTCCCAGCCGAGGCGAATAAAAAGCTTGAGCGCCATAGGCCGGTTGCCGTGGCACCCTCGTCGCATAAATCACGGCAGGGGGCGGAGCTAGCCGTGGGTGCGGGCGGGACAGACTGCTTTTCGAAAATTCGCACTCATCCACCTCTCGCTCGCACCCGTTGGCCGGGTCCACGAATGATTTACAGTGTTCGAAACGCACACAAACGAAGTCAGCTAGAGGGTCGTTTTGTTGGTTTTTATGGCTCAAACGTGATTCGAACGTGGCGCACTTCAGTCGCCAAGCTGCGCGCTCGGTCTCCTGCTAAAGATACTCAGATACTCGTACTCGTACTCGTACGCGCCGCAATCCGCGAAGTTTCCGCTCGAAAGGCAGTCTTGCGATTCCATGGAAAGCTCTTTGGCGACGGCAAGGTGCCATGGTCCCCCCCATAGCGATTACTCTACCCATTGACTCCTCTACATAGGAGAGGAATTTCGGCTCAGCCAGAAAATAATATTTAAAAGTGATTACCCTCTCAAATAACTTGGAAGTTTGAAGTGCAGTGCTAAAGGCAAATACAATTATCACAGAAATACAAAGTTAAGAGTGAAGGTGAAGTGTTGACAGATAAACTTATTGAATTACCACAAATTATTCGCATCCTGCGATTGGATTTCGCCCACAACCTCTACTTAAAGGTAAGAAAATATTGGGTGTAAAGAATAAACAGTAAATTCTGAAAACAAGGAGAGAAAAGTAGAAAAATATTTATATGGTGTTTAGAGTGTTCCTTTAAAACCTAATTATTGAGCTTGTAAGGGAAACTAAAAAAAAAATAGTTTCATTCTTGTTTTTAACATAACATCATATGTTAATGGTAAATTTAAAATAGCTTGTTATCAAAATTCGTTAGGAATTTTATAGCTTACAAAATAAATTTTACGTTAAATGGAAAAATAGGTTATAAAAGTTTAAAACAAATATGTATTTATATGGATGTCGAGTCAGTGGATTGCATAAAATATTCATAAAAGGTCAAGAGGCTTATATTACAAATACAACAGTTTTAAAAAAGTATTGCGTATTGATTTGACTACATTAAAACATTTTTACAATATTTTAATAATATGCCTAATATAAGTAAGTTTGGGGTAATTTTTTGGAAACAAGATATTTGTCATTTTTAACTCCACAATATTTCAAGCATCCAAATTATTTTTTGATAGTCTTTTTATTCCAAAGTCCCTTATAATAAATATATAAATGTTCTCAGTATAATACTAAATCGTTCGGAGATGGTATAAGTTCGAAGTTCGAATGTTTATGATTTGTACCCCCTTCGGAATCGATCTCACACGGACAGTGTCTGTGAGAACAATAAGAATTTCGGTCAAGTCGAAGTTCGAAAACGTATTTTCGACCAACGATCTCACACGGACACGGACAGTATGTGTGAGAGCAATAAGAACTTGTTCGAAATGCGGAGAGCGGTGTTTTTCGAACTGGCTCTCTTTCGAACTCACATACACAGCGGCCTCGTATCCGTGAGATACAATTTGTGGCAACGAATTTCTGGTTTGGCGGTTGATTCGAATCGTTCTTCGCGTCCGCAAAGGTAGTGGCCTGCGCTGCCCGAGAGCGAGCGAGATGGCGGCCAGTGCGCCGCTCTGCCATCCCGCTCGCACACTTTTCGAATAATGAACGCTGCACTTGGTCGGCGATACATAGTCACATAGCCCTACTTGCTCGTACTCGCAGATACAATTGGACGGGGCGAATGGGCCAGTGTGAGTGAGCCAGCGCGTACGCGTATCTGTGTGTTTTTTATTGATGCTCAGATATTTGAATTATGCCCGAGCAGTCAAAGTGAGACATTGGCGCTTCGAGCACGTATCCGCGGATACACCGGAATAACAAAAAACAAACACTCTGAAACTCAACAATCCAACTACACAATCCAACAGCTGTGCCGCGCAAAGATACAAAGATACTCAGATACTGTTCGATTTTAGCGAAAGAGATGGATGGGCTGCAAAGTGCTTGCATCGATGCTGGCGTTGATGGACAGTAATAAATTCGGCGTGAAATTCGCGCAGATACTTAGATACTTAACCATCCCGCAGATACTTATCGCGATCTGTGACAAATTGCGCGAGTGCGTGTGTTCTTGTGATACTAAAACCCGTCCAAATCCGTCGCTTAGCCCTTTGCGGCCAATTACCCCTTAGGACCATCCAAAACTCTCACCTACAGGTAGAACGCAAAAGTCTAGCCAATTTGCCAGCAGGATGCCAGCGGATTAACTCTCCAGATATCCGGCTGGTTGTGACAATTATACTTTTGTGATAGTCCACTGCAGTTTCCGCCTTCAGCACAAGTGAAATTCGTAGTTCAGTGCAGTAAACATCTAAAAACAAACTCGATTCACCAAAGGTGAACGCCGTCGGCTAACTGAAATTGTGAGTAAATGAGTTTTAAGACAGGAAAATTTGATACACCACTTTGGGGCAGGTGAAAACTAGTGTTAAAAATTTAAGGATATTTTTTATATTTTTAGTTTTTTGTTTTTTTCTTTTCTGTGCGAATTTTTTAATGTGTTCAAAATAAAAATGAAACAGATATTAAGCCAAATGATTAATTAAAACCATTGACTCTTAATCCAAACAGCTTTAACATAAAACCTTCTACTGTTGATTAAAACCTTCTAATGTCTATATTTTAAAATTTCATTTAAAATAAAATAAATACCATTACGTTTATAAATAAAATATGTTAATAAATCCTTGTACCTTATTTATATTTGTGTTTAGTGGAAATTTATATAACAATTGAAAAATGTTAACATTTTTTGGCTAATTTTTTTTTTAATAATATAATGGATTAATAGTACTCATTAATTATAATCAATACATTTTAATTAGGTCTATTGCTTAAAGAATCAAATATCAAATCAAATATCAAAATGCTCTGGGCTATTTTTCTTTGACTTACTCATTTGCTTACGCTGAATAATAAAAGGCATTCCAAGCCAAGTAATTTCATCTTTATAAATCAATAAAATATGTTTGTATTGCCCGAAACCGAACCCCGAATCTACTGTGTATATATTTTCTTTATATTTGGCCTTTGTTTCTGGTTTTCGGTGTGTGTTTTAGTAATTTTTCATTGGGTTGCGTGTGCGGTATCAACGCAAGGAATTTTCACTTCATTAAAACGAAATGCAGCCGCTTTTGAAATAATTAAGAGGCACAAAGGCGAAATGTCACAGCGAATGAAAAATGCCTAACAAGCGGCGCATATAGAAGGCTAATCCAGGCACATAGCGTTATATACCTAACCCGAGTAGGGATGAAGAAGTATTATAACCATATAGGCTTGGCCCCTGTCCGGGGAAGCGAGCCCATGCTGGCCAAGACGCCATGGGGCGAACTTGAAATTATGTAAAATAAAAAGAAGACGGACGCACTAGTCTGGAACTCAAGGGGACTTCGCCAATGACCGAGTAAAGACGCTGCTCCTGGGCAGCATTCCTCGTCCCGGCAGGGCCTCACATATGTGCTGTAAGTGGAAGAAATTCCACTTGATGTAGGTCACTTTCATTCGCATTCGACCAGCTCGCCGAGGGTGGGCCAAGATCAAAGTGCTGGGCCTCGATTGCATAATGTGGGCACAACACTGAGACAGTTGTAGACCCAGTAACGTTCCCACTCCGAATCCCATTTCCAAATAGCTAATTGGAGGGAACAGGCCAGTCCAAAGTTCTTCGAGTGCCTCTTCTGCAGCGCTGTAATTTATTTGGCCTGCGCCTGGCGGAGACATTCATCACGTTCCAACCCCAGCTCCCCGCCCTCCACACCCTCCTCAAATATATCAACTCTACTTGTTCATATTTATAAATCAAAATCGCAAACACGCGAGCTGAAAATTTGTGCTAAAGTCGTTGATCTATTGGCTGCAAAAACGGCAGACATTTTTGTCAGGAAACGACATGTCTACAACAAGATAAAGAAAAACAAATGCTTCGAACGTCATATTTGCAGTCATTCTTTAATTTTTCTATTAATATTTATAAGAGTTCCAAGAATTGTTAAATATGTTTTTACTCAAGCCAAGAAATGCTTGCACTTTAATATTTCTGTGTGTGAAAATGATTAAGTATCTTTAAGATCTTTTAAGAAAGAATCAGAAGAATAGCTCCCAATAATAATCACTATACCACCCCACTTGACAAGGATTATCTCTGAACAGTAGCCAAACCATAATATATTACACAATTGAGATGTCCTTGACCAAAAACAGGACTACTGTGATGATAATTCCGACTCGACCATTGCGCAACAGATCGTAAATTATCAGAGCGGAGATGAGATGACAGACTGAGCCACAAATGGCCGCTTGCAGTGAGGATCGAAATCGATGATTGGTTTTTAGTCGGGGAAAACAATTGGAGAACTCATAAAAATTATGAGAGCCATGACAAACAAACAACCAAACCGCAAACACCAAACAGCAACTGTGACGAGGGTTGCCGCAGCAGAGGAGATGCACAAAAAGATGAAGAGGAATAATATTTATGACTATTTTTATGAGGTGCTTACAAATTTTTATGACTTTTTAATGGGTCCGCACACAGTCTCTTCCCTTCTCGCTTCCCCACAGGCCAGTAGATCGGCGTGTGAGCGGGACGACAAGCTTTGCCAATGAGTGTGACTGCGCGTGCGCAAATACCTTTATTCATCTTTTTTTGTTCTGTTTATTTTTACCTTTTTTTTTTGAGACTTGTACTCGTGCGTACCGCAAAATGAGGTTCTAGAGCGGCGTGTTTACATGCACACAAGCTACGTCCCTGTTGACAACAAATATTAAAAATTATGATTTATGGCCAGGGCTCGTTTGGGTACAAAATCCGTGATGGTGACGACAAACAGCCAGACCGGGCGACATTTGTAGGAGAAATAACTGCTTTGGGTGCTTTGTTCGCCTCATAATTAAGATGGTGGCCTCTGGGCCGATGGCGTAGATGATGACGATGATGGAGTGCTCAGAAATGGATGACAGTTCCTTCAATGGGCGGTTAAGAAGAGTCTTAAGACGTTAAGAAGTTGGGCTTTGAATAAGTAAAAGTTGTTTATAGTTAGGTAAAAGTAGTAAAAGTAAAAGTTGCAAAGGCTTAAAGATATTTAACAAAACCTTAAGTTGTGTAGGTTAATTTTCTGCATTTATATTGAAATAAGTTTTAATTGAAATTTTACATTAGATGCACAAAATTGTGAGCATACGCAAAGCTTTAAGATCTGTTTTATATTTCCCTGAAAATTTTTATTGTTTGGAATAATATTTTAATTAAAGTCAAAAGCTAAAGCTCTTCGCACCAACATTTTTCAGACATTCCTCACATTCAAATCCCATCACCTCCCAAAAATGGTAATTATCGATTATGCAAAAGTTAATCATCTTAATTGGGCAGATGCTCAGCCCCTTGTTCATGAAAGGAATGCTTCGAAAAGTCAAACCCCCCAACCCCCGAAAACATAACGTCAATATCTTGAATGAAGTTCGGGGAAGAAAACCCTTTTCAGCTGTCGCCCTGGAATATTTCCCCAAATTGATTTATGGCATCGGCAAACGCATGTGCAACTCAATTGCTGTTTATTTACTCTCACTCTGACTCTTTCCCTCCCCTTTAGCTTGGATCTTTTAGGATCTGATCCTACCTGTGGCAATGTGAAATGGAAAACGCCGAGGCCGGGAAAAGGAAATTCGTTCTGCGGTTTAAGTATCGGGGCAAAGGAGAAATTTCACTCCTATTTGAGGGCATATTAAAACTGTTTATATAACAGAGGAGAAACAAAGGAAAAACTCGGTTGCCCGAGTCCAAAATGTCGCTGAGCCCGAAAGAATTGCCGTAATTTATGGCTTTCTTATGAGCTCGACCGACGATCGCCAATCTAAGACAACGTCTGATCTTTCCCTCTCTGTCTCCCCTTGGTTTCCCCGTCTCTTTCGGAGCCCGCAAAATTCGCCGGCGTTTTTATTATTCATGGATTTAATTAACACCAATTGAACCGCTTGTCGCCTCAGCGCCGTTTCAAACTGTTTGGAAAACAATTTTCAAAATTCGTTTAATTTATGGCTTCTGTTTCTCTTCCCCTCTCACATTTTTTTGGAATTTTTAATTTGCCCTTAAGTGACCAGGAAATCGACAGACGCCTCTAGTCTGATTTTCATAACGCAACTGCATACGAATAATGATAAGAAGAAAACATTAAATTGTTTTACAAAATTTTAGTTTGAGTAATATACCTTTAACTAAGTTTTATTTTAATAGCGTAAACGATAAGATAAAATAAATTCTTTGAAAATTATTAAGTGAAAATGACTTACGGCTCGTATTAGATTTTTTATTTTCCAGCAAGTAGATTGAATAAATCAAAAAGTCTGTTGTGTAAAAACAAATGTTTGTACTAAACGTTCGAATCAATTTTCATTAGGTTAGCTTGCCAACTTTGACTGCTTCAAAATTGTAGTTTTTCACCCAATCAATTTTCATCGCTTCCATTCGAATTGCCACCAAATCGATTCGACCCTAGGTTGTTCAAATATCTGCCAGTCAAAGGTTCAAAGTCAGCCAGAGACGCTGATCCTATAATTTTGCTGATTTCGGCCTTGTTCGGCTTGGCTTAAACACGGGCGCTTGTCTACAACTATAATTCTCATATTGCCAGGTCGAAATGGTTTTCTCCAAAGCACCGTTACCCCGGCCTTAAAGCCTATAATCGGTGGAGATCGGCGAGAGTGGAGAGTAGAGGGTAGAGGGAGGGGCAGAGACCTTAAGGCAAGTTTACAATATTTCCTTAATTTTTATTTTTTGTTGCATTTTCCCCGAGAACCCTGCTCATCAAATAAATCTCTGTCCAAAGTTGAGCATTCGCTCCTTGGGTTCTTGGCCAGTTTCGAATGGCGTACGGCGTTTTAATTTAAGCCCAAGTTGAGAGCTCCTTTCATTTGGCCAACATGCTAAAGGGTTAAATTGCCCACTGAATCAAAATTATTGGTTTCAAGCCACAAATAAGGGCAGGGAAGTGCGGGGTGTGCATTTGGTTGCATTGTTTTTGGCCAATGTTCTCGGTGCTCCGCAGTTGTTGCTTATTTTAATGCCCTTCAAGAGGATAGAATGGGTGTTCCCATATTTATTTAACAACATTTTGGTTTCTTTGCTTCAAAGTTTATAGTGCTTAACAAAATACATTTTATCCACTTTGATATATCAAATGCTATCCAATATGTAAGGAATTAAACACAATAAAAAAATAAATTAAAAAAATATCTAACTATATTGGGACAATAACTATATTCACTTTGTTTACCTGTTCCTGTTTTAACCCGATTTTAAAGGTCTCTATTCAATTTTTTAACATTTTACATTAACGAGTGTTTTTTGTTATATGTTTATTAAATGCCATTGACAATAGCCCATTTTTGATTAGCTGCAAGGGTATTCATGCTTCGATGGAGTAAAGTAATATTGCCATCTCGATGTTGTACTTTTTTTGGCCATGTTCATGTGCAGCGGCCTCGCTTGGCCTCTTTTGCCTTATTGCCTTTTTGCACTTTTTCGGCTCTGGGGCGATTCGAGAGCTCCTTTCCTTCAGCTCCTTTCGAAGCGGAGGGTCATTGCTTTTGTTTGCTATCTGCGCAGCGGAGAATACGAGTTTTCCGCCATTGAACAAACATGCCCAAGACCAAGACTGCAGTATCTGCGATGGTTGCAATAAGACGAAGAGGAAGAGGAGGAGGGGGAGGGGGAGGAGGTCTTGCCAGCAAGTGCAGCCGCAAGAAGTTTCCGCCAAGTGTGTCCAGAAGAGTGGGCGGTCCCTCGGCATTCCACGGCCAAAAGCTCCAATACATACGAAAAGTATCCACTTCGATGGCCAGGCTCGCTAAATTGCATGCTTAGGCAGCCCCAGCTCTCTCCACCACAGAAAAAAACCCGACTCTTTACCGTTCTAAAAGTAATAATAATAATAACCAAGTAAAGGCAAGTGAAATTATCAGCGGCTGAAGAAACACTTCGAGGGAGGAACCAATCAAGAGGCGCGAGTCGGATACAGTGTCTTGGGTTTCATTTACTTAAAACACCGACCACGTATTTCCTAACTCTCCGTTTTAACTGGTATTTTAATGCTTGTTTTTCCTAGAGCTACCACATAGAAAATAGATACAATGTCGATATATATGCGTTGATTTTAATTAAAAGCTTGCAAACTATTAAATTGAAGACATCAGAATATATTTGCTCTTAATCATTAGCTCTCTTCATTTCATCTCAAAACTTGGAATAATATTTATCTCCAGGGTTTGTTCAGCGTTTTTTTTCGCCGCCCTTTTGCAACTAAGTGGGAGTCAACAAATTGACTTGTATTCAAGTTATCTTTAGTTAAATGCAAATATTTAGTCCCCCGCAGCTTCTTCGATACAATGTTGCCAATCGCTGAATGAGATCTCAAAGCAGAAAGTGTAAACTAATAAAAGCGTATTTATTTTGTGGTAACCTTAACCCTCTATTATACACTAAGACTTTAGTCAATTCAATGTAGAATAATGGAGGTGAAAACAATAATAATTAGATTCGTAGCTAAAGAACATCAAGCAATTAAATTGCTTTATATAATGTAAAATCTTATTTAATCACAGAACTTGTAATTAATAAAACTTTTCTTTAAAATTACTTATATCTGCACTTTTAGTTTCATAAACTTTCTAAACTATTGAATCCCTACCGAATGATCTCGTTTCTAATCCTCATCCATCCAATTTGCAGACTCCAATCCACCACTTGGACCCCTGGCCTCAGAATGGATCCCGACTGCTTCGCGATGTCCTCGTACCAGTTCGTCAACTCGCTGGCCTCCTGTTATCCGCAACAGATGAATCCGCAGCAGAATCACCCCGGAGCGGGCAACTCGAGTGCGGGCGGCAGTGGAGGCGGGGCGGGCGGTAGCGGTGGCGGGGGCGTGGTGCCCAGTGGCGGGGCCAACGGGGGTCAGGGCAGTGCGGGGGCGGCCACTCCGGGTGCGAACGACTACTTCCCGGCCGCGGCGGCCTACACGCCCAACCTGTACCCGAACACACCGCAGGCCCACTACGCCAACCAGGCGGCCTACGGCGGACAGGGAAACCCCGATATGGTGGACTACACACAGCTACAGCCGCAGCGATTGCTCCTGCAGCAGCAGCAGCAGCAGCAACAGCAACAGCAGCAGCAACATGCCCATGCGGCGGCAGCAGTTGTTGCCCAGCAGCAGCAGCAACTCGCCAACCAGCAGCAACACCCGCAACAGCAACAGCAGCAGCAGCAGCAGGCCAACATCAGTTGCAAGTACGCCAACGATCCTGTGACGCCGGGCGGCAGCGGGGGTGGGGGCGTTCCCGGCAGCAACAACAACAACAACAGCGCCAACAGCAACAACAACAACAACAGCCAGTCGCTGGCCAGTCCGCAGGATCTGTCCACCAGGGATATATCGCCAAAGCTGTCGCCCAGTTCGGTGGTGGAGAGCGTGGCCCGATCGCTGAACAAGGGCGTTTTGGGCGGAAGTCTGGCGGCCGCCGCCGCCGCTGCCAGCTTGAACAACAACCACAGCGGATCCGGAGTACCCGGCGGTCCGGGGAACGTCAATGTCCCGATGCACAGTCCGGGTGGCGGCGACTCGGACTCCGAAAGTGACAGCGGCAACGAGGCGGGCAGCAGCCAGAACAGCGGCAACGGAAAGAAGAACCCGCCGCAGATATATCCGTGGATGAAGCGAGTGCATCTCGGAACGAGTGAGTACTAATTTCAGATTAATTTCATGTATTAATAGTTGGGGAATAGGTATTTTTAATTATTTGTTTACCAGGCCCGGGTTTTTTAATGTCTTTATAAAGCTTTAAATTTGTATTCTCTCAAAGAAAGTTGATATGAGTTCACATCGTTGGGCTGCAGCACAAATGAACTATCTCAATGTGATGTTAGCTTTAAGAGTTGTTTAATAGGCACTGACACGATTTTGAGTATGTTCGAGCATTTAATGTTATTATTTATTTAATTAAATAAAAAAAAATAAAATAAAAGAAGAGTTCAAAAGCTGCGATATGTTAAGCATAACCGTTGTCATCTTTAAAATATATTGTTTCAGTAGATTTCACAATAATTATAATTCTTTTGGAGAAAACTTAAAATTACTTTTCATTCAAATCAAAATCAAATAAAGCTTTACGTTGTAAATAAACCGATATTTAAAATTCTGAAATCCAACGAAACTTTTTATCTTAGAAGTAAATTAGTTATTCAGCTCATTTATTTTAATAATTTTAATAATGTGCTGTATCACTTAACTGACTCACAGCCACTTATGATAGAATTAGCTGGAATTGAGATCCATAAATCATCATCCTCGGCGGAATATTTTACGAGAAACTCACCTCAATCGATACCTCATCCAGCCCTCATTACCACTTCTGCGAGACACTTGGCTCACTCACTCGGAATGGGTGTTGCAACTAGCCAGCAATATTCATTGGGCAGAAAGTGTTGCCGAGTGCTTAGCACCAAATTGTCTGGCAAACAGTGCGCGCGGGGAATCTTGTCAAAATACATAAACAATAACAACATTTCCCTCGCACTTACGCTCTCCGATTTTTCTCCAGTTTCGTGGCGAAGGAAAAGGGGAAACGCTGCGTGAAAAACTCGACCGCGAAAATCGTAGCTCGTGAAAATTGTAAACAAACGTGAAACGATCCGATCCCGCAGCTAAGGCCGTCTGACTCCCACAATAACTCATAATACCGCCGCAGATACAGACACATCTGCAGCCAGACAGATACAGATGCACAAGATACGGCCACTGTGGCTTGATATAAATCTCAGCACCTCGCTCGGTTTATATTTAAATTGAACCGAACAAATTTCCACCCGAAATTTGTTGGGCTGGAAAATTGTGAACGAAAAATTGTTCAGTGATTTTTCATCATGTCTCTGGCGCGCACACAGATTTTTCTTTCTGCCACCCCCCCCGATTCCTTCGGATTCTCCAATTTTTCCACCTTTTCTGACCCATCGAAGGGGCAACTCACGATGCCGTTTTGGGGATCGCAAGTTTAATCAAATTATTGGAATGATTCTTCATACTAGTCGGCGGTTGTGGGAGATTAATTGCGTTGCAAATAGTTTGACATTTGCTTGGATCTACCTGGCTGCAATCTTACCTGCAGCTCGTTTGTTATTTTGGCTAAAAAATAATTAAATATTTTTGTCCACGTATAAATCATTATATTCGGGTTTTGGGAAATAATTTTTGGCCGGTTTTATCTTGGTGGCTCATAAATCAAATTCCCCGCTCATTAGCTCATTGAAGTATAACCAAATGGCAAGCGAAATTATTCAATGCTGAAAATAAATATTGGTGAATTCCTCGATGAAAAGTTTAATTGCTGGCTTGCATTTTGCATTTCAACTGCCACTTGACAACCCCAAATCACAACATGTCAGCCAATTAAAGAGACGCTGATGTGCTGCCGCCTGAACTGCATATTTATAGATAGTCGGACTGCCAACAAGTCAGCAGATACAGATACGTATTGACTAACAACTTTTCTTGATTTTCCATTTCGATTCGCGAGCGTGTGTGCGGGAAAACTCGTTCCCTGCTCGGTTCCAATCAATGGGGCACATTGTTATTATTTATGTATCTGTTACTCATGGCAGCCGGGCAATAACAACAATAACAACAAGAACGGCGAGTATCTGTTATGCAAATTGCAGCAAGTGGAAGCGCGGAAGAAATTGATTGCAGCGGGGCGCGGTAATGAAGAACATGAACTTCGCCTGGAAGAGACATGAATGAAATGGGCTCAGAGCTACAGATACATTTCTACAGATACTCGCACAGCTCACACAAAAGACGCACTCACAGAATTAAACGCAGGAAATTATGTATCTCGTGGATCTTGGCATCTCCGTCTGGCGTTGCCATTTTCCTTGAGTTTTCATGCATCGCCGAGATTTAATTACTTTCTTAATCATATTCGGTTGAGGGCAATGTGAAAGGCAGCCATCTATAGCTATATCTTTAGATATAATTATATAGTTTCTGGATACAGCTACAACAATAGTTGCTCTTGGAGTTGTATTACGTTGGGACTAAACAGTTATATCTAACTATAGCTTCGAATTTAATTCTATATTTGTATCTATATTAGAATAGCAATTTATATGGTTGGAAAGAACTATGTCTTGTATTATGATTATGATAAATCAGTTTTAAAGGTGAGATAATGCTTTAGTTATAACAAAAAGCATTTTGTAGATAAGCTGACGGTAAGATATATTGCAGATTGCAATAACTTTAGTTGTAGCTGCAGAAAGCCACGCCCACTTTTTTTTAAGAGCCGAAGAGTCAACAGCCTGCCGAGCAATTAAGCTGGCAGCTTTATCGTCCCAGAACACAACTTAATTTTCGACAGCAAATGTCTTTATTAGAATTTCAGATGGGTGTGTTGGCATGTCCAGGATTTTTTATAATTGCAACCGAACTAAGAATTACTATTAAAAAACGTTGTTGCAGGTGCCAAGCAGCGCAAACGCCAATAATAAAGGGCAATCTTGAGGGTAGCATCGGAAACGGGCGCTGATTAAAGTCCAGTAAAAATAACAGCAACAGCAAAGGCAACAGCAACATCATGTTAACAATTATGCAAATTTGGAGTGCATGTTGCTCATGAGGCGGGAAGCAGGGGGGGCGGATGGGGTGGCGAGGGGAGGGTAGGAGGAGTGGCGGGGAGCCGGGCTGATGGCATATAATCACGTCAAGTTGTTACTGTGGCAACCATTTTATAATGCAAAGAAAAAACGCCAGCTCAAACGCCATCTTCGGCTCGAAGAGAACGAGGCTGTCTGAAATTCTGCGAACAACTTTTCACAAAAAGAGTCTTTTTTAAAGAGCTCCTGGCATCAAGTATCTGCCAATAAACACACATGAGCATAGCTGCATGTTTGGTTAATATCGCATGCAGTCTTGTGAAGTCGTTTGCCATTCGAAATTCGTTCTTTAATTGACAAGACCGAAGCTGGCAGGGCTCCAAGCAGATCATCAAAAGATGCAGCCAGCGGATACCTGGCGTAGATGCAGATACAGATACAGCAAACAGATACAGATAGAAAGACACTCGTGCTACCTGCTGATGACTGGCAGACGGCACTGTCGAAATGTCAAATGCCTATTGGATCGCCTCTCCCCGTTATTTCTATACAAATTGACAATTTGTTGACATTTCTTTATGCACATTTTTTTACTCGAGCGGGCCGCTCCCTAATTAGTGGGTTATTTATTTATACAATCTGTGGGTTTTTTCCTTTGAGTGGCCTCACAACAGCCTTTAGTTAGTGCCTAATTGCACATAAAAATATGCTCAACTTTGCATGCAATTTTGCCTTAAAAATTTCCATAAATTGCATACAATTCGTATAATTACCGAATATCGTGTCAATAATGGTAACTTGGCAGAAGAATTGAAACAGAAGCTAGGCGGAAAATGGAAACACCAGGAAACTAAATCTAACGTGCTGGAAAGCACTACCCCAGCTAAAAGTCTATTTTCTAAATCTAAATTGCAAATATCTGCAGTTCTGTTTCCCTTGCCGATCGTGCCGTTCAACCCGAAGGCTTTGGCCACTCGATGCCGCAGATGCCAGGATGTTACACAAAATTAATAGTTTGCAAACGAGTTGAATGCCAGATACAAGATACGCGACGGTCGCTGCAAGGCAGCAGAATGCAGCAGCCTCTGAAACTGGAAATGCACTGAGGGAAAAATCACTATTTAAAATTGAAAAATAAAATGGCAACCTGCTGAAAAATAACTTGAAATAAATGGGCGTCCCTTTCTTAAAATTTAAATTTAAATTAAAATTATTAATTTGAAAAACAACAACATAATAATGTTTTGATTCATTATAATTCTAATTGTTTAATATAGGTTCCAGACCACAACATGATAAGACATGTTGGAAGCTTTCAAGTTAAATAAGCTGTCTAATCTCGATTTTAACTTTAAACGACATGCTTTAAGCTAAAACCTAACTTAGAAAAAAAATTGGGCATTCAGTTATTATAGTTATTATTATAAAACATTATACATTCACATAAGCTAACAACTGATTAAAAAACATAAAACTAATATTTTCATTTATTAAAAATCTATAATTTGAAGTATAGACAACAACTAAATAATTTAATTGAATGTATGTTGCTTAAAATTCCATTAAATGAGTTTAGGAAGGGGGATACAATTTTTTCAAAGAAATTTCTTGTATTTTGACATTTATGACACTTTTAATTGCAATTATAAAATTTAATTTAAAATTTGAGAAAATTATTTGTATACATTTGAGAATTGAAAGCAAAAACTTGTACCACGCAAAATCACGTTTAAGACTAACGTTTCGACTTTGAATCCACTCAGTTAGTTAATTTTTTGCTGTGTACGGAACTGGGGTTGTGTTCCCGATCTCGGAAATGGTCTGGACTCTGGTCTGGGGTGTCGCTGTCTGCTGGTGGACCTGCTGTTGCAGTTACAGCTCCTGCCGCCATGCTGCTTTTGCGCCTGCCCCCGCCCATTAAAAAGAAACTCAGACGGCACCCAGAGATGGAGAACCTGCAGATCCAGAGCCGGGAAGAAAAACGCGCCCGGCATTCGCTGCCCAATTACATTTTCATTAACTTGGAACACGACTTTTCAAATGGCTACGTTTAATCATAATGATTGTTATTATTTTTATTTTGGTG